CTTCGACACAAGCAAGCTCGACAACCACACTTCAAGCTTCAACGACCTCAACCGGACAACCTGCACAAGGAGCAAAACACATAGTCAACTGCATGGTCAAGATAAACGACTCCTGCATAACAGAGTCACCACCCCATTACTCACCGGAAGAGGAGCTCGACAACAGGACACCTCGTCGTGAATCACTCCATCCAAATCCGACTTACGCCGCCATCGCTCAAAGTGAACCGTCTGGGCAAGACACCTGGTTCTTGGACAGCTGATGTGGGCAACACATGTGCTCGTCCGGGCGTTTCGTACAACGCGAACATCGACTCCAACGAGAAGTGATCATCACGGTCGCCAACAATCAAAACCTGCACACAAGACGGCAAGGAGTGGTACAACTTCAGTCGAGAGAAACCAATGTTATACTACACATGTCCAAGGTACTCATTGCTGAAGGGCTCGGATACAACTTACTGAGCGTCAGTCAGTTGATGGCGAAAGGAATTCATCTGGAAGCCGACAGCACGACTCAGGAGTTCAAGCTTTACCACGGGAAAGGCGGTCTCTACATCGGGAAAGCAGTGCTGAAGAACAACGTCTTCGTCCTCGACTTCGTTCCCGACCTCGGCACTGCAGACAGCGACGCCATTGTGAACTTCGCTGATTGGACACACCCTCCGGATCTCGACCCCGACTTCAGCCCGGGAGGTTTCTGGTACTCCCACACTATCCCTGAAGCAGAACGAACAAGAGCGTTAGCAACGATTCAGCAAGAAGCAGAGGCAACAACATCGGCAGCAGCAACAACATCGGCAGCAGCTACAACATCGGCAACAGCAACAACATCAGCAGCAGCAGGAACAACGACACCAGTCACAGTTGACGAAGCACCACCAACACTCGCGCAACAGCTGAATCCAACTCAACGGGAAGTCCACCGAAGCGCCAACCTCGTCGCCAGCTTCTACTCCAACTCCGACGTATATCAGCGTTCACCCGGACATCGCGCCTCTGAAGAAATCTGGCACGCACGCACAGGACATCCAAGCAATACGGTTTTAAATAACACGATAAGAGCAGGAGTCCTTGACAAAGACTCTCTACTTCTACCCGATGGCAGAGAACTCCAAAAGGCACGGGGGACTTGCCTTATATGTCCCGAAGCCGACTTACCTCATCGACCGTTTGCTCCACACCACAACCCGAGCGCTCCAGCGTACACTCCACTCGAAAAGGTCTACAGCGACATCCTCTACAATCGCGACCCAGGACAAGTCAACTACAACTACACCATCACCTTCATCGACGCCGCCACTCGATATGTCTGGCACCGCAACCTACCCAGCCGCGACATGGCACTCGCAGCATTTTCCGCCTGGCTACCGATAGCAGAGAGAGAGTCTGGAACACAACTGAAAAGTTTCCAGTCAGACGGAGGTGGCGAGTACACCTCTCAACGCTTCAAGCAGTTCTTGGCGGAAAGGGGGATCAAGCAACTCCTCTCCCTTCCCTACGCACATCAGCAGCAAGGTGTTGCAGAACAAATGAACAGGACCCTGCAGAACAGCATGCGCAAACTGTTGCGTGGCATGCGGCTACCCAACCACCAGTGGCCAGCAGCAATGGATCACGCTGTCATGCTGCACAATTTGTTGTCATCGTCATCACTCCCGAACAACGCATCACCGCATCTGCTGTGGACAGGGAAGCAGGGCAGCACAAAAATGTTACGAGTCTTCGGGTGCATGGTACAGTACAGACCCCCAGAAGCACGAGCGGGAAGATTTTCGCAACGGGCACAGTGGGGACTACACCTCGGCATCGAGAAAAATTACAACGCATGGAGAATCTTCGACGTCCACACAAAGGAAACAGTAGCAGCACGTGACGTGATCTTCTACGAAAGACTCACCCTTCAGACGTACCTCGCCAACTTGCACGAAAATCGGGACCTCACCAGTGGTTTTCGTGGTGACCGAGCCTTCGCGTCAGCAGCGGACGAAGCAGACTGGGACGAACAGAACGTCGACAATGCCTCGGAGGAAGCCGGACCTCTCCCATACTGCTCCGTCAACGTGCCCATGGATGAGGATAATCCTCGCGAAAGCAACAACGCCGAAGTCTTCTACCGCTTCGCCGACGATGGTTACGTAACACCTGCGACAGTCAACACTAACGAAGCAGAAAGAGTAGGGCCAAATTTCATGCCCGACCCAGAAGCGGGAGACGAAGCAGCTTATCCCGAGGATCCAGAACTCCCTCGATACTCACAGACTGGGCTGCAAATCCTTGGTCTCGTCACCGCAGTCCATGGCGCCGGCATTCCTAAGGAGCCTGCGACGGTTCAGCAGGCTCTGGGGGGGGAACACAGGGAGAAATGGCGTGAAGCCATGGACAAAGAGCTGAAGGCACTGGAGGAGCGCAACACCTGGAAAATTGTTCCCATCGGCGTAGCCCAAAACAAGACCATTCTTACCGGGAAGTGGGTCTTCCGTGTGAAGACGAAAGCTGATGGCACCATCGACAAGTTCAAAGCCCGCTGGGTCGTACGTGGCTTCGACCAAGAGCACGGAAGAGACTACACCGAAACCTTCGCTCCGGTCAGCCGTCACACCTCACTCCGAATTCTCATCGCCGTCGCCGCCATGAAGAAAAAGAAGTTGCGACAAACCGATGTTGCGAACGCATTTCTCTACGCACCTGTGGATGCAGAAATCTTCGTCGAACTCCCACACGGCTCCCACGGCGAACCTAACCGAGTGTGTCAACTGCTCAAATCACTTTACGGGATCAAACAGGCACCGCGACTGTGGCAGCAGTACCTACACACTCGCCTCATCCGCATCGGCTTCAAACAACTCCCGCACGACCAAGGCATGTATCGCCTCACAAAAGGAGGCGACTACGTCCTGCTAATCGTCTACGTGGACGATCTCCTCTACATTGGGTCGACTGACGACATCGCTGCGTGGTTCGAAGGGGAGCTCCAGAAAGACCTTACGCTCACGGTCTCCTCTACGGTTACGCAATATCTCTGGCTCAACATTCGTGAGGAAGAAAACGCAATCTACCTAAGCGCCGAGAAGTACGCCGACACCATCGCGAAACGCTTCCGTCTCACACCAAGCGCCATCTCCACGCCTTACCGCTACGCGTCAGGAACCGAAAAGGGGCAATCTACTCTACTCAAACCAGCTGGCATACGTGACTATCAGAAGAAGCTCGGATGCCTCCTCTTTGCAGCAGTCACATGCCGTCCTCACCTATCCTACTCCGCGAGTCAGCTCGCCACCTATCTCAAGAGACCTGAAGCAGAGCATCTGGTAGAACTCGATCGTGCTCTCCACTACTTCGTCAGCACCGCGACGATCGGACTAACTTATCATAAAAACGTGACTACACCAACCAAGCTGATCGGCTACGTCGACGCCGATCACGCCGGCGACACCAACAATAGGCGCTCACGCACCGGCTATGTCTACCGCCTTGAGCCTATCGGTCCTATCTCCTGGCAGTCGAGCAAGCAGGAGTTAATCGCACTATCTTCAGCAGAAGCAGAATATATTGCACTCTGCTCAGCCACCAAGGAGGGACTTTACCTTCGCAAATTACTGGAAGAAGTGAAGCTAGCCGAGTTACCCAGCTTCACCGTGTTCTGCGACAACCAGTCAGCAATTCGCATCGCCAACAAGAACGGTTTCGCAAACAGGACGAAACACATCGCCCTGCGCTATTTCTTCGTGAAGGACGAGATCGAAAAGGGGAAACTCGATCTGTCATACTGTCCAACATCCGAGATGGCAGCCGATTACTTGACCAAGAAACTCGGAAAGCAGAAGTTCGAATACTGCATGATGCTGACTGGACAAAGCCACGTCACCAGCAGCGACACTCCAGAAGCGAAGGGGAGTGTTGGAAACAATAAGTCTTAAAGTGCGCTTCTGTCGTGTCAAAATCCAAGGCACCAAGCGAAGCAATCCCAATCGAAGCATCGAGTCAACCTCGGAGGTTAGGGTAACCTCCTGGAGGTTACGAGAAAGTCAAAGGTCAGCGACCTTTGACTCGACATTTACAGCGCGACAGTTAAGGACACACAACTGATTCGTTACAGAGCAGTTGCCCGAGTCGCACTATATCGAACCGCAACAGCAATACAGTTATCTATCTATCTATTCGTATTCCCTGTACTCTTATATAAATCCTTGTACTTGTTTGTTTAATTCAATCTACTTTGCTCTCACACACCAGTGCAAGGTTGGTTCATAATCTTCACTAAAAGCTTCCGCTATTACAAGTCTCTACCCTAGAGTTCTCCTCTGAAAAGATCCTAAGGGCTATTTCTCAGCCCAACAGTTTTTCAGGGCCGAAGATTACGTGCGCACAGAGTTCTGAGGAGAATTGTGTTTGCCTTTTGTCAGCACGCAAGGGTCTACACGGAGATGATGTGGAGGAAAGGGAAAGGCGCGGAGGAACAGCGGATGCTGGGTCGGATTCGAGCTGCCGATAAAGAAGTTGATGTGGACAATCCAAGAACTGTGTTCAATAAGCCGTAGACACCTTACGGTATATGGGGCAGCACATCCTATCCCCTCACGCACACTTACAACTGTTATTGGTAGTAGTTTGCACTTGTTGTCGGGGTATACTATCCAATCGCCGTATCAAAATGTATTCCTTTGCTAATCCAACTTTGCTCCAATATTGACACCTTTCTGCAGAGCATGCTAATCGGCTTATGTCAGGATGCCGTTGTCTCCTTTCGTTTGTTCATTTCTCCATGATTGTATTGCAAGAGAAACAATCAGCACTGAAGAAAACACAACACAGCTCTACGGTACGACTAACAATGAAAACCTTATCTCAAATGGATGAAATTGTCATACCCTGCACGAGCATGTACAGGAGCAGGACAGAACACATAGGAGACCCACAATGTGTCAGATGAGGCAGAAAACCAAACACAGCCATCCTACATCAACACTGTCTGTCCCATCTTTGGAGGCACTACACACCTGCTAGCAAGCAGCTTGGAGCATCCATGGTTGCCATGCTGCAGCGCCACTTGCATGGGCGTCCGGCCCTCAGCATCGGTCACATTCACCACTGCCCCCCACAGCAGCAGCAGCTCCACCATCGCCTCGTCTCCCCTCTCACACGCCACATGCAGCAGCCTCTGCCCCGTTCTCCCCGCACCGCCTCTTGTGGTCCCCGGTCCAGCTGGCGCCGTGCTGGCGACGACCCCGACCACGTCAGCGTTGACGTCGACGGGCGCGGTGACGAGGAGGCGGAAGGCGGAGCGCACGTCACAGGAGGCAACAGCTGCTTGCAGGTGGTGCAGCGCGGTCAAGGGGTTGTCGGTGGCGGGCGCTTGGTAACGCCGCTCCACATACTGGAAGATGGTGGGGTGGTGGCATGGGGGAGGATGGAACGGGGGAATGGGGAGAGGGAAATAGAAGGGAAACGGGATTTCACAGTGCAAGGCGAGAGTGGTACTGTTCAATTAGCACACGTCGCAGTCGCAGGGGCCGGAAAGGCGGAGCGGACATCGCAGGAGGCGACTGCTGCTCGCAGGTGGTGGAGTGCCATGGAGGGGGTGTCGGTGGTGGTCGAAGGGAAGCAGCGCTCCACATACTGGAAGATGGTGGGTTGGTGGCATGGACGGGTGGTGGCATGGAGGGGTGGTGGGATGGCATGGGAAGGAAGGAAGGGGGAAAAGGGGGAAGGTTGAAAAAATAGTGACGAGGAGGGGAATACACAGTACGAGGGGAGTTTGCTGCTGTTCACACATGGCACATCGCATGAGGCGACTGCTGTGCGGAGGTGGTGCAGCGCAGTCGAGGGGGTGTTGTTGGAGGGGGGGTTGTTGGAGGGGTGTTGTTGGAGGGGGTGTTGTTGGAGGGGGTGTTGTTGGAGGGGGCGAGGAAGCGCCATGCCACGTACTGCAAGATGGGGGGGGAGGTGAGATTAGGGGGTGGCAAATAGTGAGTCTGTGTCTTTGAGGGCCAATGAGTCCGTGTCTGCCAGCTTGACTGTTGATCCGACTGAAAAGCAACACAAAACCGTAAACCCTGCACGCGCGCGTCCCACTTACCCACCTTGCAACTGATGTATTCCCTTTCACTGCAACGGGTCCGTGCCTGCTGGCTTGACTCTGAAGTGAAAATTTCGTCAAAGGTGACTCTAAACCTTAAAGCTTGCACATGTGCATCCCACCCACCTTGCAGTGAATGTACTGCTCTTTCACTGCCAGCGAGTCCGTGTCTGCTGGCTTGTGCACCACAGCAGGTGCTGCTGCTGCTGAAGCGAGCATTGACGCCCCTCCATCGTTGGCCAATAGGATGTAGTCCTCTCCCTCGCCCTCCCCGCTCTCCACTCTATGCGGTACCATGGTTGTGTGTGGTGTGGTGGGACAAAACAGGAACAGAGGGGGGTGAGGAGAAGGAAGCGAAAAAGGAAGTGAGACAGAGAGCAGGAGCAGCGGCTGGATGGGTGATGCAAGCATTGAAACCCCTCCTCGTTGGCCAATAGGATGTGATCCCCCCCCTCGCCCTCCCCGCTCTCCACTCTACGTGGCGCCATGGTTGGAGGGAAGTGACGGGGGAAGGGGCGGGGAAGGGGCGGGGAAGGGGCGGGGAAGGAGGTGAAAGCGAGGGGGGAAGTGAGACAGAGAGTGGGAGAAGCGGGCGGTTGAGTAGTGAAAGGGTGGAGGAAACGTGTGGGGCAATGATATGGTATGCTATCGTATGGTTTGGTATGGTGTGGTGTGGTATGGAATGGTATGGTATGGTGTGGTGTGGTATGGAATGGTATGGTATGGTGTGGTGTGGTGTAGAATGGTATGGTTATGATACGATATGTTGGACTTATGGTATGGTGTGGTATGGCCTGCCGTATCATGGTATGGTATGATATGGAAGGATATTGAATATGGGCAAAGCACCACACAGCACAGCACCACACAGCACCGCGCACCACCGCACAACATACCGTGTCAGGGCATGGCCTGAAGAGCCTGCATTCCCTTCTCTCCCCCCCTGAACGTCCTTGAGCTGCTGCTCCCACACGCTGTTGGCAAAGTCGTTGCCCACTATGGCCATCAGCCGCACCAGCGGTGCCGTCCACACCTTCACATCTAGTGTCAACGATCGCACCTGGTAGTGGGAGGCGTGGGGGAGGGGGGAGGGAGGGAAGGAAGGGGTGAGGGAACAAAAGGGGTTGGCGCCTCAAAAGGACCACTAATGGCTATCAGCCGCACCAGTGGTGCCGTCCATACCTTCACGTCTAGTGTCAATGACCGCACCTGGTGGTGGGACGCACAGGGTGCAGAAGCACAGGGGAGGGGGAGGGAGAGGGCTAATAACGGCGGGTCAGAAGTTCCTTCTATTGCTATCAGCCACACCAGTGGTGCCGTCCACACCTTCACGTCTAGTGTCAACGACCGCACCTGGTGGCAGGGAAGCACAGAAGGGAGAAGTCGCGGAGGGAAGGAGGGAAGTCGCGGAGGGAAGGGGGAAGCCGCGGAGGGAAGGGGGAAGTCACGGAGGGAAGGGGGAAGTCGCGGAGGGAAGTGGGATGAGGTTAGTCAAGTCGTCTCCCAAGGCTCTTTCGGTGACCATAAGGCACACATCAGTAGAGATGTCCACCACACCAACAGATTCTGGTGCACGCCAGAGCAGTCAACGCGGAGCAGTCAATGCAGTGCAGAGCAGCACGCAGAGATTGAGCGTCGCCCAGTCGGGGTGGGTAGGGGTGCCTTATACCATGACCTAAAATTAGGCACACCCCGCCCCGGCTACTGAGATCTCTACTGCTAAAAGCCCACGTACCACTTGCGATTTTGGCTCAAGCATAGAATGAGTTGCAAGCATAGCTTGGAGCGGTGCACCCCCAAGTTCCTCCTGTGTATGCCGGAGCAGTCGATGCAGAGCAGCACACAGAGGTTGATAACGCGCAATTGGTCAGGGCGGCTCATACCATGACCCGATTTCAGGCATCCCCCGATCCGGCTACTGAGCTCTCCACTGCTTAAAGCCCATGTGCCGCTTGTAAGTTGCACACATACCTTGGAGCGATGCACGCCCAGGTTCCTGTGCACGCCGGAGCATTCGATGCAGAGCAACACACAGAGGTTGAGCGACCCCAGTTAGTCAAGGTGCCTCATACCATAGTAAAAACACCGGTTACTGCACTATCCACTACCCTTTTGAGCTATGCGTTCTCACCTTTGAGCGGTGCACGCCCAGGTTGCGGTGCACGCCGGAGCAGTCGATACAGAGCAGCACGCAGAGGTTGAGCGACGCCCAATCGGGGTGCGCCCGGCTGCAGTCCGCACAGCGGTCGTTGCCGCTCACATAGCCCAGCACCTCCAGTGGTCGCTCCACTATGGGCAGTGCTGCTGCCTGCCCTTCCTGCGATGCTGCCCGGTGGGAAATGGTCAAGTCCACCACTGATGGCGCTGGCTGGCGTGGGGGGGCGAGGAGGGGGGGAGGGGGAGGGGGGTGAAGGGGAGGAGACGGAGTGCAGCAAGGGGGAGACGGGGGAGCAGGGGGAGGGGAAGGAGGGGAAGCCGGGGGAAGCAGGGGTGAGTGAGAATAGCTGTGGTTGCAGCTGGCATAGCTCAACAACGCCAATGGTCTCTCCACTATGGGCAGTGCTGCTGTGGGCAGTGAGGGCTGCCCTGCCCGCCCTCCTATGCGTCCTGTTGAGTGAGAGATGGTTGAAACGGCCACTGGATGGCAACGCTGCAACATGGTGCTTGCGACGCCACTGGATAGCAACGCTGCAACATGGTGCTTGCGACGCCACTGGATAGCAACGCTGCAACATGGTGCTTGCGACGCCACTGGATAGCAACGCTGCAACATGGTGCTTGCGACGCCACTGGCATGCGAACGAGGACGCATCGTGCATTAGCTTTTAGAAGCAGCAGCAAACGGGAGGCGGCGAGACCGAGAGGCGAGGATGAGTGCGTGCAATGGAGGAGGAGGAAGCGAAGTTTGTGCTGCCTCCGTGCACCGACGGGGCAAAACAAGACAAGCAGAACAAGCGGGCAAAATAAGCAGGTGGGCGAGCAAGCGACAGGCGGGAAGCAGCAAAGAAAACAGGCAGGGGGTCAGGGAAGCAGGAAGGCAGGGGGGAAGTGAGTCAGGGAAGCAAGGGGTCACCTGGGCGGTGGTGTGGGAGTTGAGCAGCGAGGCAATGACCGCTGTGATCTTCTCCATCCAGTCCCTCTGCTCCGCCGCACTCTCCGCCTGCCACCACCCCCCCACCACACATGCACGTATACAGATGTGTCCACCGCAACGAATCATGCTCTCACACTTCTCGACAATGCCACCACACATACAGTGCCAGCACGAATACCGCCCCGTTGAGTAAAATGGGGAGGAAGCACGGCGCCAATGCCAACGGCTATACCCGCAGCGTGTGGGTGCAGTCGACTGCAAGCAAGAGCCATACCTGCAGTGTGTGCGTGCAGTCGACTGCCATACCTGCAGTGTGTGCGTGCAGTCGGGGGTGACGAGGCGGAAGCAGAAGCGCAGGTCGGGCTCATCAGCGTCCATCTTGATGGTGGCAGTCAGCAGGTTCAGCGACTCGTACTGCAGCGCGTGGTTCCGCTCCTCCTCCTCCCCCATCCCCATCCCCATGCCCCCCATCCCCGCCCCCATTCCCCCCATGCCCATTGCGTCTGTGCTATGGTCGTCTCCCCCCTCTTCCCCGTGCCCGCTGCCGCCCCTGCCGCCCAGGCCGAGTGGGCGGTAGTGCTGGGCCATGGGGTTGGCGGGCGGCGGGGCGGGAGGGGTGGCGTCGGTGGTGCGAGCGCGGACGAGGGAGAAGAGCGAGGAGAGCGTGTCGGAGCGGGCATTCTGAGGGCAGGGGGAGTGGAGCAGGGGAGCGAGTAGGGAGGAGGAGACGAGGGAGGAGGGCGCAAGGAAGGAGGAAGAGGGCAACCAAGGGAAACCGGATAAGAACAGGTGCTGGCGTATGGAGGGTCATACGAGCATAGGACACGGCAGAAACTTAATTAAACCCCTCGTGATTGGCCGTCGCATAGCACCAATGAATGGAGCGCTGTAAGTCAAACACACCTGAGCATCCTTGTGATAGTAAAGGGAGCCCCTTGAATCGAGGACAAAGAAGTGGCGCGAGCGGGCAGCAGCAGTGCGCCTCACCAGGTACCCCTGCTTGATCACCTGCACCTGTGATGTGATGTGATGTGGTGTGGTGTGGTGTGGTGTGGTGTGGTGTGGTGTGGTGTGGTGTGGTGTGGTGTTTCACACAAACAGCGCGAAAGGGACACGGGAGGGAAGTGTGGTGAGGCAGCGTGGTGTATGTGACATTGGAGTGCAGTGGCGTGCCTCGGGATTAACCAACACTTCATCACCACCTGCGCCTCAGGCGTGCATGCACTGCGCATACAGGAGAAGGGGAAACAGGAAGAAGGGTGTGGTTAGGTGTATGTTCCATTTGAGAGAGGAGGGAAGCAGGTAGGGATGGAGAGAGGAGGGAGGGGAAATGGTAACTTGGCAGTGGTGAGAAATATACATACAAATATACACACACACATATACACACATACAAATATACACACACACACACATATACACACACCTAGACATGTACACACACATACACATATACACACAAATACACATATACACACACATAGACATGTACACACACATGCACATACACATACACATACACATACACATACACACATACATATATACACACACATGTGTATACACACATGTACACATACATATATACACACACATACATATATGCACACACATACATACGCACTGTACTCATCCCAATGAGTCTCTCACCTTCTTCTGCCCGCCTGCACCAGCCCTCATCATCTGCTCCACACTGCTCGAAGTCACTCCTCCTGATGGCCTATACGGCCCGCGGCCCTGCCCAAACCCCTCCCCGCCCCCCGCCCCATCTGCACCCGCCAGACCAGCCCCTGACATGCGCCCGCCGCCCCCCCGCCCCTGTGCGTGCGCCAGCGCCTGTGCCTGCGCGTGTGTGTGGGCGGCTTCTAGCTGCGCGCTCTCCTCCTCCTGTGTGCGCCGGAACTGGTAAATGCGCTCTGCTAGCTCCGTCTGTGCACATTGCAAGAAACAGGTCACACGGACACGCACAGAGACACACACACGGAGAAACACGCACAGAGACACACACACGGAGACACACGCACAGAGACACACACACGGAGACACACGCACACAGAGACTCAGGCACACACTCTCCTCTTCCTGGGGTACGGCGGAACTGGTAGATGCGCTCTGCTAGCTTCGGCTGAGAGAGTGAGAGGTAGCAGAGGGTGGAGAGGTCGAGGGAGGGAAGGAGAGGAGAGAAGGGTTGAGGCAAGGAGTGAAGATTGGAATGTGGGGACGTGCATGGTAGCATTGCCCCGGCTAATACTCCACAATGAGTTATCTAAGAATGAAGGCATTCAGATACATCACACATGTGTGCACGCACACATGCACGGACACACGCATGCACACATGCACACATACATACATCACATCACACCCACATAGACACACACAAACACGCACCTGCTCCTGATTGGCCTGTTCCTGTGCTTGATGAGAGAACGTGAGGACCTGCGAGAACGGGAGAGGCGTGGTGGAATTGAAAGGATTAGTATCGGCTGGCCGTGCATTAGAGCATGCGGAGGCAATGGGAGAGCCTGAAGATACGTGTGAGGGCGGATGGGCACCCGAACATGCTAGGATGATGTGGGAACATGGGGACCCGAGTCAGAAGGATAGGGAATATGAGAAGGGTATGGATGATGGGAACAACGAAAACCTGTGAGCTGCGATATCATGGCTGGGTGATGCAATACGACGGCCGGGATGAGATGAGAAGACATGAAGATGGAACGATGAGATGAGAAGACATGAAGATGGAACGATGGCACAAAAGAAGCCGTTGGAAAATCAACGAAATACAGCATGCTTCCTTCTTCTCGGGCATTGGTGTGGCCTAACCTACCCAGCCAGCCCTACATGCAAGCAGCAACATAGCTCTCGGCCCGACACCCTCGAGAATCACCTGATGGATCTACGGCTCCACGGCTGATACAATCATTTTAAGACAGCTCACAGCCAAACAATCCGCCCCTTGACCTGACACAGCACCCTGGAGAATCACCTGATGGATGTACGGCTCCACTGCTTGCAGCAGCTCGTAGCCCTGCCGTGTGGAAGAAAGCAAGGTGGGAGATGAAATCATTCACAGGGCAGGCTGGTTGGTGCAACACAAGAACGGGAAACATTGGTGTGAAGCAGTGGACAGGTGACATGCGCAGAACAAGCAAGTGCAGCTTGTCGCGGATAGGTTGCAGCTGCAGTGCCACTTGGCAAGCTTTCATTTCAAGCCCACCAAATGTGGCATGGGTTGGTCGGCACAATATATTGATGTGGCAGCAGCATGAAGGCATGCTGCACTCTCCATGTGGAAACATTTTTACAAGCACATCTCCTTACATGGGAGTTCAAGTATGAATGCGGGTACCTACCTATTTGAAGTGGCGCAAGCGGGCGCACACACATGTGCGCACAACTATAAATGTGCACATGATGAGCATGCCTGTGAGCATGAGCATGCATATGAGCATGGCTGGTACCTGTTTGAAGTAGCGCAGGTGGGCGTGCACAGCAGAGCCGATGGACTCGAGGAACACGTGCTTCTTCTTCGCCTCTGCACTGCTCAGCGCTGTCATCTGCTCATAGCACCGGGCAGGCAGCAATGGGGGGGGGGCAGGCGGGAATTTTCATAGATGATGTGCACAGATACATCCACCCCCCCTCCCCCCCCCCCTTTCCTCCTCACACACACACACGCACATGCACGCTCACCCCCCCCCCCACACACACACACACGCACGCACACGCACGCACGCATGCACACACACCCACACACACACACACACACGCGCGCACGCACACACACACGCACACACACACACACGCACACACACACACACGCACACGCACACACACACACACACACACGCACACACACACACGCACACACACACACGCACACAGCACGAGGATCGCGCATGGCAGGGACGGAGTCAATAGAGTTGCAGGGGAAGCATTGTTATATCTGAAGCTTAAGAGAAGAAGACCCTCATAAGCTTATGAGGTGGTGTTTGGAGGAGGAGTTGTTCACATCACATTCCCTTATTGTGCTGTGCCTTATTCATGCCCTTCGTAAAACTGTGTTGTGCCTGCCTGCTCAAACTGCAACTGCGTGCGCATTGAGTGGAGCCATTGTACTTTCACAGATGAGTGGAGCTGAGCTCACTCAGAAGAGAGTTTCAGAAGCTGTGTTTCTTGAGATGAATTGAAAGTACAGTGTGTTTTGGAGTGTGCTTTCAGCCAAGTCAAAACAGGACAGGGTCATCAGAGCAGGCAAGGGGAGAGAGAGCTCACAAGGTTGAAGCGCGCCTGCTCAAACTGCATGCGAGCCGTTTGCAGGTCCTGGTGGGCACAGGGGAGTGATTGGGGCACGGGTGTTGGCACGGGCATGAGGGGGAGGGTATCTTGACATCGGTAACTGCATGCGAGCCAAGCGAATCCCGGTGGCACAGGGGGTGAAATCAAAGGGGCGTGACGAAAAGGGTGAGGGGGTTGCAGGTTTTTTTATGAGCACGGGAGGGGCATGGGAGGGGCATGGGAGGGGCACGGGTGGGGCATGGGAGGGGCATGGGAGGGGCACGGGAGGTGCATGGGAGGGCATGGGAGGGCATGGGAGGGCATGCAAGGGCATGGGAGGGCATGGGAGGGGCAGAGGAGGGCATGGGAGGGCATGGGAGGGGCATGGGAGGGCATGGGAGGGCATGGGAGGGCATGGGAGGGGCATAGGAGGGCATGGGAGGGCATGGGAGGGGCATGGGAGGGCATGGGAGGGCATGGGAGGGGCACGGGAGGGGCATGGGAGGGCATGGGAGGGCATGGGAGGGCATGGGAGGGCATGGGAGGGCATGGGAGGGGCATAGGAGGGCATGGGAGGGCATGGGAGGGGCATGGGAGGGCATGGGAGGGGTACGGGAGGGCATGGGAGGGGGGCATGTAAACATCTCGAACTGCAGCGTATGGATTCAATTCAGGTATGATTGCACTGCAGCATGCGGGCCCCATAATGTGAGGAGGGCAGAGAGAGGGCGAGCAGGAGAGAGGAGAGGACAAGAGAGGCACGGGAGGGCACGGGAGGGGCACGGGAGGGGCATGGGAGGGCATGGGAGGGCATAGGAGGGCATGGGAGGGCATGGGAGGGCATGGGAGGGCATGGGAGGGCATGGGAGGGCATGGGAGGGGCATAGGAGGGCATGGGAGGGCATGGGAGGGGCATGGGAGGGCATGGGAGGGCATGGGAGGGGCACGGGAGGGGCATGGGAGGGCATGGGAGGGCATGGGAGGGCATGGGAGGGCATGGGAGGGCATGGGAGGGGCATAGGAGGGCATGGGAGGGCATGGGAGGGGCATGGGAGGGCATGGGAGGGGTACGGGAGGGCATGGGAGGGGGGCATGTAAACATCTCGAACTGCAGCGTATGGATTCAATTCAGGTATGATTGCACTGCAGCATGCGGGCCCCATGCTGTGAGGAGGGCAGAGAGAGGGCGAGCAGGAGAGAGGAGAGGACAAGAGAGGCACGGGAGGGCACGGGAGGGGCACGGGAGGGGCATGGGAGGGCATGGGAGGGCATGGGAGGGCATGGGAGGGCATGGGAGGGCATGGGAGGGCATGGGAGGGCATGGGAGGGCATGGGAGGGGCATAGGAGGGCATGGGAGGGCATGGGAGGGGCATGGGAGGGCATGGGAGGGGTACGGGAGGGCATGGGAGGGCATGGGAGGGGCATGGGAGGGCATGGGAGGGCATGGGAGGGCATGGGAGGGGCATAGGAGGGCATGGGAGGGCATGGGAGGGGCATGGGAGGGCATGGGAGGGCATGGGAGGGCATGGGAGGGGCATAGGAGGGCATGGGAGGGCATGGGAGGGGCACGGGAGGGGCATGGGAGGGCATGCGAGGGCATGGGAGGGCATGGGAGGGCATGGGAGGGCATGGGAGGGCATGGGAGGGCATGGGAGGGCATGGGAGGGGCATAGGAGGGCATGGGAGGGCATGGGAGGGGCATGGGAGGGCATGGGAGGGGCACGGGAGGGCATGGGAGGGGGGCATGTAAACATCTCGAACTGCAGCGTATGGATTCAATTCAGGTATGATTGCACTGCAGCATGCGGGCCCCATGCTGTGAGGAGGGCAGAGAGAGGGCGAGCAGGAGAGAGGAGAGGACAAGAGAGGGCAGCGGTGTGGGTACGACGGAACGAAAACTTGGGCGGCAACTTCCAAGGGAAAAAGGGAGTCGCCGCCCAACACCTTTTCTCACACACTTCCCTTGTCTCCTCTCAACACCTTCCTCCCATCCACATCTTCCCACCCACCTCCTCCCACATCTCCACTTGCCTTCCATGCTGTGCCCACATATCTCTGATTTCTCGAACCCCCCTCTCCTCCCCCTCGCAGAAATTTTCCCAACACTTTCCAGTCAAACTCAAACCAATCCCCTCTCACCTCGTCGGCCTCTGCCGCCACTTCAGCCTTGATGCCCTTCTTGAGCGACAGGAAGCGCTCCCGCATCTGGTGAGAGGGCGGAATTGGGGAGGAGAGGGGAGGGAGGGGTGGAGGGGAGGGGCAGAGGGGGACAGGGGAATGTCTGTTAGCTATCCCAAGATCACTTGGGCTTTGAACCCTTTGTTGAGCAACAACAAGAGGTCCTGCATCGGTTGATATTCAGAGGTCCATGATCCATCATGCACAGGCCGTGAATGCGGCGAGAATAAACCTTGAAGGAGCATGTGTGCGAATGGGTGCATGGGTGCGTGCATGGGTGCGTGGGTGTGTGTGTGCATGGGTGCATCCATGGTGCGGCAATAGGATGGGTGGGAGCAAGGGCAGTGGGGAGCAAATCCTCGTCCTCACCTGGTCATACTGCCGCCCAGCCTTGTCGTAGCGCCGCCGCACCTCCTGATGGCTCGCATGGGGCAACGGGTACGGACGTAGTGCACGGGTAAACGGGATGGGTGAATGGCATGCGTGAATGGCGTGATGCTATTATGTATGTTGTGAATGTGAGCGACCTTGGGGTTGGATGCACTCAGCAGCATGAGCACCCATGCACTTATTTGTGCATGGGTGCACTCATGCACCCAGCAGCATGAGTGCATGGGTACATGCACTCAGCAGTATGAGCGACCTCAGCTGGCTGCACCCATGAACCCATGCACCAGCTGCACCCATGCACCCATGCACTACCAGCTGCACCCATGCACCCATGTTTAGTTGCACATAAACCAGCTAAGAAAGAAAGTGCTTCAAAGACCTCAGCTTCCAGTCCAACCCAGCCTAGAAAACCGTGCTGTGGCGTGACTTGACAAGCTCACAACAACGCTGGGACCTGACAGGCCTCCCTCCCCACAGCCAACGGCAGCACAACTGGGGCAGCTGGAATGGGTCTTCTTTAGTCAACTCGAGAGTCAACGCGAGTCAGCGGCAGGGCAGCCCACCTTGAGGTTGTTGAGATCGTTCTCCACGAAGTTGGTGATTCTGTCATGCAGCACATGCTCCATCTGCACACAGAGGGTGAGGGTGAAGGGGTGGGGGTGGGGGGTAAGAGGAGCCTTAACAACCAATACGGTGATTCTATCATGCAGCACGTGCTTTATCTGCACAAACACCCACCAAGCCGGAGAAAAGGAGGTGCTGGGAAAATTTGAGATAGATGGGGTGGGAAATGGTATGTCATTGACGGGAAAACGGCATCACGTGGAAAGAAAAGAGTTTGTGAGTGAAGGGTGAACCCTAAACCCCCCCAAATTCCCGCTGTGGTCGGTATACCCACATGATTTGAATCCTCGATTAAGAGAAATTCTAGAACTTAATGACTGCAATATAGGTTCAGATTAAGGCCCTCAAAAGTGCAGTGTGGATGAATGCGTGAGGAACCGCAAGGGCATGCCTGGAGGGACTACGCATGCAACTGATGCGCACAGCACAGCACAGCACAGCACAGCACTGCACGCACAGCACAGCACAGCACAGCACAGCACTGCACAGCACAGCACAGCACAGCACAGCACAGCACTGCACAGCACTGCACAGCACAGCACAGCACAGCACAGCACTGCACAGCACAGCACAGCACAGCACTGCACAGCACAGCACAGCACTGCACAGCACAGCACAGCACTTCACATCACAGCACAGCACAGCACATCACGACACGGCATGACACGGCACTGCACTGCACAGCACTACACTGTGGTGTGGGGCGCACACGGCGCTTGCCTGTGATTTGAGCGTCTCCTTAAATATGGTGAGGTCACGCAGCGTCATCACGAACTGCCCCAGCACAGGACCTGGCGGAATACCGAGGGTTGGAGGCAGAGATGCGTGGGAGAAAGCAGGGGGCAGGAAGACGGGGTGGGGATGGGGTGAAAGGGGACACCACCATCGCTGGCACAACCCCTGAGTGCACCCTGCAGGATTCACCGTCCTGCACGGCTCACCACCCTGCACGGCTCACCACCCTGCACGGCTCACCACCCTGCACGGCTCACCACCCTGCACGGCTCACCACCCTGCACGGCTCACCACCCTGCACGGCTCACCACCCTGTACGGCTCACCACCCTGCACTGCACGGCTCACCACCCTGCCCTCTGCCCATTAACCTCACCGCCTGTGGCGATGCTGACAGCATCCTCGGGCGCACCAAAGAAGCGCTCCATGGCGTGCACGAAGGCGCTCTCTGCCTCGAACGACTCGCCCAGGGATGCCCTGGTGTGTGGGAGAGAGAGGAGATTGGGTGCGTGAGGAGGCACGCAGTGAGTGTTAAGTCCAGCATACAGTGGGAGGAGGAAAAGCCGCATGCACGAAGGCACGCTCCGCCTCGAACGACTCGCCCAGGGATGCCCTGGTGTGTGAGGGAGAGAGAATTGCATTGGCAGGGGGGTGTGAGGAGCAGTGAGGGGTGCATGGGGAGCAACGCTTCAAGGAGGGATGCACGAAGGAACGCAATGGGCAGGCACGGGGCCAAGAGCAGGAGGGATTGAGCAGCAGGGCGAGGCGTGGTGGAGCGGCAGGGCGAGGCGTGGTGGAGCGGCAGGGCGAGGCGTGGTGGAGTGGCAGGGCGAGGCGTGGTGGAGTGGCAGGGCGAGGCGTGGTGGAGCGGCAGGGCGAGGCGTGGTGGAGCAGGAGCGTGAGGCGACTCACGCGAAGTCGTTGCAGCTGCGAGCGAGCTGGCAGCAGCGGTCCCTCAGCAGCTCGAGACTCTCCTCCAACGACGCCAGCTGCGGGGAGAGAGATTCAGGGAGGGTTACGCAAGGGCGAGGAACGTTGGGGGACCAAACGGGATGCAGGGAGCGAGGGGCATCAGAGATGCGAGCAGGCAACAGCGACCCCGCAGCAGCACCAGACTCTCCTCCAGCGCCGCCAGCTGCTGGGAGAGGGATGCGGGGAGGGTGATGTGGGGAGGGTGATGTGGGGAGGGTGATGTGGGGAGGGTGATGTGGGGAGGTCGATGCGGGGAGAGGGATGCGGGGATCTGAGACGTCTCAAGGCTGGCAACAGCGGTCTCTCAGGAGCTCCAGACTCTCTTCCAACAACGCCAGCTGCGGGGAGAGTCGCACAGGGAGACGGGGAGTGGGATGCGGGGAGGGTGATGCGGGGAGGGTGATGCGGGGAGGGTGATGCGGGGAGGGTGATGCGGGGAGGGTGATGCGGGGACGGTGATGCGGGGAGGGTGATGCGGGGAAGGTGATGCGGGGAGGGTGATGCGGGGAGGGTGATGCGGGGAAGGTGATGCGGGGAGGGTGATGCGGGGAGGGTGATGCGGGGAAGGTGATGCGGGGACGGTGATGCGGGGAGGGTAATGCGGGTTCTTGAGACGTCTCAACCTCAGCAGCACCAGAATCTCCTCCAGCGACGCCACGTGCGGGGAAAGATTCGCGCACAGATAAGAACAGATGTGTGCAAGGGTGGGTTACACGCGGATAGGGTTATGCTAGGCCGTCGCGAGTCAAGGGATGCAGGGAGTGAATGGTATTACATGTGCGGGTTGTGAGGGTTCGACAAGTGGGATCAAAGCATGCGAGGCGGGGTATTGACCATCAGGGAAGCAGCGTCTTTCAAAGCTCGAAACAATGAGGCTTAGTGACAGAAAGAGAGGGAGAGCAATCGCTTCCACGTAACGATGGCAGTGCGACAACTTTTCGTCCAGCTCTCGCCCTAACTATGCTCCGATACCATCCAACTAAACGAATTGGCCTTCCCGACCTAAAGAGGACGTACGCAACGAGTATAGACGGAACGAACGGGACGGATCATGCATGTCTCGCTTGTAAAGACGGATGTAGGTAAAAACAGGTGAATTCTAAAACTTATTCCTTCGATCTGGCACTAGCGACGCCATTCTGATGGCGGAAAAGGGGCAGAGCGGAGCGGTGTACCTGCTTGCGCAGCATTGGCGTGTCGTCTAGCCGCGCGAACAACATCCTGGTTCTCCGGTGTCGACGGGAATGGGTGTTTCGAGGTTGCGATTGCGAGAAAACCAGCACGAAGAGATGACGATGCTTCTACGACGATACTGAGAAAGCGATGCGGTACTGCCTTTTCACAACGTCACCATACTCTCTTGGCCTACTCAGTACCTACTCAGTCCAGTATGATAATCCCGAGGCTGTTGCTGCTGGCTAGACTCGCCAACTGCATTTTTGTTGACAAGGGAGTTCGATTTGGGCTGACATGCCAGGCGTAGCGTTGGATGATCGCGTGGGATGAGGAGACTGGAGTTTCGTGAGTTCAGTGGGAAGAATACAGTATAAGGACGGAAATCTTGTCTCAAGAGGTGACAGGATGTAATGAATGTGAATTCATTACTGTAGAGGCTACTCCTAGCGAGGACAGCCCGAACTGTTCGCGTCAGTTTGGGTTCGGCCTACACTTAGGCCCAAACCACTTCCGAGTCGCCCCGCACCAATCGCGACACTTCCAACCCATCCGCGTCCCGAGGTCCTCGCCTACCGCGGTTTTGACCCTATAAGATGGCGTTCCTGAGATGGGGGAACTTCGGAGTGCTGCACTATTGGTCCAGCGTGGCAGTCCTGGATATTTTGCACACCCACCACACGTGCCATTCGATGTCAGTCTCATTGTGCGAAAAACAAATGAGAAAACTTCCAACCAATCACATGCTTCCGTATTCAACGTCCATGCGCCAATTCCAAACGGCCACAATCTCCCATAACACGGTCGAAAACAGTCTGGGGGGAAAGTGGCGATTCCGAGCGTGCTGGGTAGGTTGGTTATGTAGGTTGTAGAGCATGTGCTGTGTGGTGACCGTGAAACGAAATTGCTTTCTGCTGTTGGATTGGCGCCTGTTTTTCCTTTTCCATTTGTCACAGTATTCTTTGACCTTTCTGAACATGCCAAACCCAGTCACGACTCGGTCCTGTGACAGTCAAAACCGTCATTGGTTTTGACGTTGGGCGTCAGGGGAAGTTGCCATGCGCAAAAATCGCACGACCCTCACCGCCCAACTCATGCGACGTCTAGATTCACTCCCCCCGTTGCTGCCATGCCTTAGGCACGTGTTCTGTGCACTGTTGCTGGGGGAAGTTCGGAAGTTCGCCCATCTCAGGAACGCCATCTAAATGCTTGCTTCTTTATCTTTCTCGTCATTCTGTAGTTCTCATCCTTTTTATTAAGTCTTCCGCGCACTCTTCTTAGTACAACTCATAACGCTTGGTATCAGAGCCTAAGTTCCTAGGTCCCCCGTTTTTTAGAATGTGTTACCCCTCGGGGGGGGGACAGGGAAGGATGCCGTGGTGACAAGAGCAGCGCAGTAGCCGGCCAGGAGAACTGATAGTTGCTCCTAGCGGCCATGTTTTTCTTGGGCTGATTGCCCCTTAGGATCTTTGGTAGGGTTAATCTCTGGGTAGAGTGATGTAGTAGCGGAAGCGTTAACAAAGAGATTCTGAACCACCTTGCGCTAGTATGTGAGGGCAAAGTAAGTTGATTAAAACAAGGAGATACAAGATATTATATATGATTACAAGGAATACGAAGAGATACGAATGATAACTGTTTTACTGTTGGCTGTTGCGGTTCGATACAGTGCGACTCGGGCAACTGCTCAATATCGAGTCAGTTGTGTGTCCTTGCTGTCGCGCTGCATTTGTCAAGTCAAAGATCGCTGACCTTTGACCTTCGCGTAACCTCCAGCTGTTGCTTCAACTTCCGAGGGTTGACTCGCTGGTGCCTCGATATGCGTTGCTTCACTTGTGTCTTAAGTGTTTCGACACGACAAAGGCGCTTAGGACCGATTGTTTCCAACACTCCCCTTCGCTTCTGGAGTGTCGCTGACGTGGCTCTGTCCAATCAGCAGCATGCAATATTCGAATTTCTGTTTTTCGAGCTTCTTGGTCAGGTAGTGAGCTGCCATTTCGGACGTGGGGCAGTATGACAGCTCGAGCCTTCCCTTCTCGATCTCATCCTTCACGAAGAAGTATCGCAGGGCGATGTGTTTCGTCCTGTTCGCAAAACCGTTCTTGTTGGCGATGCGAATTGCCGACTGGTTGTCGCAGAACAGGGTAAAATTGGGTAACTCGGCTAACTTCGCTTCTTCCAGCAGCTCGCGAAGATAGAGTCCTTCCTTGGTGGCTGAGCAGAGTGCAATATATTATGCTTCGGCTGACGAGAGAGCAATTAGTTCCTGCTTGCTCGATTGCCAGGAGATAGGCCCGATAGGCTCGAAGCGATAGATGTAGCCGGTGCGTGATCGTCTGTTGTCGGAGTTGCCCGCGTGATCTGCGTCGACGTAACCGATTAGCTTAGGTGGCGTGGTCGCGTTCTTGTGATATGTTAGGCCGATCGTTGGCGTACTGACGAGATAATGTAGAGCGCGGTCGAGTTCGGCTATGTGTTTTGCTTCAAGCCTCTTGAGATGAGTGGCGAGCTGGCTTGCGGAGTATGAGAGGTCGGGGCGGCACGTAACAGCTGCGAAGAGAAGGCATCCTAGCTTTCTCTGGTAGTCGCGTATCCCGGCAGATTTGAGTAGAGTAGATCCTTCCTCGTGGTTTCCTGTCGCGTAGCGATAGGGCGTAGAGATGGTGGTAGGCGTGAGCGCGAAGCGTTTGGCGATGGTGTCGGCGTACTTAGTGGCGTTGAGGTAGATCGCGTCTTCTTCCTCTCGAATGTTCAAGCCGAGGTACTGTGTGACGGTAGAGGAGACCGTGAGTGTGAGGTCCCTCTGTAACTCCCCTTCGAACCAGGTGGTGATGTCGTTAGTGGAGCCGATGTAGAGTAGGTCGTCTACGTAGACGATCAGCAGGATGTAGTTGGTACCCTTCGTGAGTCGGTACATTCCTTGGTCGTGAGGTAGTTGGCGGAATCCGATGTGAATGAGGCGAGCGTGTAGCTACTGTTGCCACAGCCGCGGGGCTTGTTTGATTCCGTAGAGCGATTTCAGTAGCTGGCAAACCTGGTTGGGCTCCCCGTTGGTACCGTATGGGAGCTGGACGAAGATTTGTGCGTCGACGGGTGCGTAGAGGAATGCATTAGTGACGTCGATTTGCCGCAGCTTCTTCTTCTTCATGGCGGCGATCGCGAGGAGGATTCGAAGTGAGGTATGTCGGCTAACCGGGGCAAATGTCTCGGTGAAGTCCCATCCATGCTCCTGATCGAATCCACGCACAACCCAGCGTGCTTTGAACTTCTCAATTGTGTCGTCTGCTTTTGTTTTAATGAAGAAGACCCATTTCCCGGTGAGAATGGTCTTTTTCTTTGCCACATTGTCGGCGAAGTAGTAGAAGGTTTCGGCGTTGACACTTTCGCGAGGGTTGTCTTCGTCCATGGGAACGTCGACGGAGCAGAACGGGAGAGGTCCGGCTTCTTCTGACGCGTTGTCCACATTCTGCTCATCCCACTCAGCTTCGTCTTCTGCGGAGGCGAAGGCTCGGTTGCCACGAAAACCACCTGTGGGATCTTGGTCCTCTTGCAGGTTGGCAAGGTACGTCTGGAGCATGAGTCGTTCGTAGAAAATGACGTCACGTGCTGCTACTGTTTGTGAAACTAACTGAACAGGAATGAATTGACTAAGTCAGAGTTGGGTACAAATACAACCCTAGCAAACTGTACCCCATATGTGCTACCCCACTATAGCCTACAAACATGCATCAGCTATAATGATCTGACACACCCCCATAGGCAAAGTGGGGGAGAACAAGGAGTCACAAGACCAATCAAGCAAAGCAAAGCAAAGCAAGCTCAGGGTGGATCACAAAGTCACCACACAGTCCGAGCACAAGAGCAGGGCCAGAGGCCAGCTCACATGCAGGAGTACAGACATATATATGAAAACTAGACAAGCAAGAGCAGGTATATATATGTCAAAGTACAAGTAAAGTCAAGAAGAGAGCAAGTGAGGCAAGACAGGTACAAGACCCAGCTGGGTACAAAAGCGCTGATGGTCACAAGGCGCAAGTGCCTTGGTGAACACATCAGCAGTGTTGGCCTCAGAGGCCACGTAAGCAAGTCGCAGCTGACCACGCTGCTGCAGCTCACGAGCTAGGAAGTAGCGGAGAGCAATGTGCTTCGTTCTGTGCTCCAAGCGCTGCTCTCGACACAAGGCCAGCATGGCCTTGTTGTCTACGTACAGCACTGGAGGAGAACGAGGCGGCTCTCCAAGGTCAGTCAGCAGGTAGGTGAGCCAGCGAAGCTCCTGTGCAGCCATGGCCCCGGCGTAGATCTCAGCCTCACAACTGGAGCCGAGAACCGAAGACGAGCGAGTAGACCGCCACGAGACAGAGCCGGAACCAAGGCTGAAGGTGTAACCCTGTGACGACCGCTGCGTAGCCTGGTCGTCAGCCCAAGAAGCGTCTGCGTGCCCAGTAAGGACCACTGGACTCCGCCCTCCAAGCACTAGCCCCATGCCCGACGTACTGCACAGGTAGCGCAATACCCTCTTCGCTGCAGCCATGTGCTCCGGTCGGTGTCTCCCAGGAGCAACATAGCGTGCAAGGATGCTCAGAGGGTATGCAAGGTCAGGTCGTGTGCAGGTCATCAGGTACATGAGGCAGCCAACAAGCTCTGCATACGGACCACTCGACTCTACGGACTCATCCGAAGGCAGAGCTGAGAGTGAGTGGCGAGTAGGCAGAGGAGTGGCCTGAGGCGAGGAGTACGTGAAGCCGAAGCGCTGAAGGACCTGCTGCACCATGTGTGACTGAGTCAAGATAATGGTGTGGCATGCTCTGTCCCGAGTGATCTGCAAGCCAAGGTAGCTACGCAGTTCACCCATGTCTGTGCACGTGTGTCTCTTCAGCAGCTCGG